AGCGTCGCCCTCCGGAACCTTCATACGATGGAGCATATAAAGTCATTGAGCGTATGGATAAATTTTTCGTCTTAGACAAAAAACTCCACGAAGACTCTGTCAGTATCGGCTGTCCGGAACCAGCCCACTTAGAAGGCGATTCCGTTGGTCTCGAACTAAGCATTCCCAATAATGCACAGGTAACCGAATATCCGTTAGCCCTTGATGAGATCACTAGCGCGTCAAAGGCAACCGAACCTCCTATGGAGATCCCAAAGAAAACGCGTCCTCGACGAACTGTGAAATTCTCAGAACTTCTTCACACTTACCTCATATAGAAAGATATTGTAATCCACCCAATTTTTCGCGCTTTTGGTAAATTGTTTCAGGCACAAAAATTTTTTTCACTGCATCCCACTGCAGAAGTCAAATTTTTTATGATCGTACATGTTATACCCACTGAAAAATTATATTTTTCCGGTATTCTATTTTTCACAATATTTTTGTGTAGCAGATGTATACTATTATTAAACGCTAATTTTAGTACATTTTCCCCAACAAGTTTCTTAGCATTATTGTTTTTTCCAGGTGCGACGGCACTGGACAAGGAGCAAACGAAGCGCGAGATCCAGCAAACGAGCATCAGTAAGGCGACGTACATGCATCCAATTAGCATCGGTAGACGACCGGTAGGCAAATAATTTAGCCGTTTGAAGGATTTTTCTGGTAGTAACACCGTTAGGTTTTTACTTAATAATGGTTTCGTCTTAAACTCCCCGCTAGTGGGAAGGTGTTGAGCTGTGGCTGTCGGTATTTCCTAAAAATTATTAGCCGCGGCATGGATGCTGACCCTCACTGTCTAAGTCAACTTCGTTAATCAGCACTTACACCCTAGGTAGGGTGTTGATAAGAGTATTAAGAGAAGTTTTAAAAAGTGCTGTTAGTTGAGGTCTACCTTGAGTACAATCATCCCTTACAGAGTGCTATTCGGGTCAACGGTTAGGTGGCATTTAAACGACTAGCCAAGGATGTCATGCGTTAACTCCTCTCGTTGTATGTCCGCCTTGCTGAATAAGCCTCGTCATATACTTACTTCTAAATGAGATACCGTTCTGCAACTGTACACTGACTGCTTACCTACATGCATTTGTTTTGTCCTATCTATCATCTGGAGGTATTTTAGAACTCAAAAACTTTAGGTGATTATTAAATGGAAAGTTACATTTAGTAAGATAAAATGCCGAAGCCCCACTGCCCCCTAATAACTAAGTCCCTAACATCGCTTCCGGAGAAGTTTTACAACATCAAATACTCAGATGATGGGGAGGTTTTGCAATTTGTTCCAAATGACTGGATATAACTGAGTTACCTTTTCTTAACCTCATTCAAGCAGAACTACAAATTAGTAAGTCAGCCGACAAGAGAGACAAAATAGAAGTCAGAAATCCATAGTCAGAAGAATTATTTGTATCATGTATTTGCAATAAATAGAAACAAATAACATTGAAAATTGACGCAGCTCATCATCAGAAATCATCAACCGCGCATCTGCTAGACGTCAAATGTATTCCTGTGTATTTACGATTAACTCGTATTTGCGTGAAAATTTCATTATCTCCTAGTACTTTTCTCGAAGTTGTTGATATATTTTAGTCTGTCTATGAAATGTGGATCAGCAAAGTGACAACCATAAATATAGCTGAAAGTAATTTCCACCTCAGTTGTGTCCACTGTAAAACGATCGATGCCCTCAGTCAAAGATTTTCACCATTCCATTCATTATTTTCTATAATATAACCATACCGGAAGGTGGGCAGTCATCTTATACGTTATAATACACATCAGACAAAGTCGTAACAAATAATTGCGTTCAAAGAGCCGGAACTTTAAGGAGTTAAACAGGAATTTCATGAATGCTTACGTGGTATTGAAGCTGGGGCTTATCGAAGCACTTTCTCAGCTCTCCAAGATTTTTCAGATTCACCCATGCTATGGATCTCTGCAGTGTGCGAAATTCCCTGCACCACAAATTACGGGTAGTATACATAACGGTGACCAGTATCTAAAAGCCAGTCGTCGGAGAGTTTTCAACAAAATGAACACCATTATCAGTGACGAATGCACAGCAGAGTTACGACTTTGTGCACCTTCTGGTCGGATGACTAGAGGGGCACATTTTGTACGTCTTTTGTTTTAGGTGATGTCTTTGTGAAACCACATAACTTTTCACCAATTTGAAATGGAAATTTGCTTGGTTAACGCTAACGGTTTGCACTTGGAATTCCTTCTCACAGTTCACTGTGTGAATTTCGGATTAAGAAATCATAAGGTTTGTATAGAAATCTGATTTCTTCACTTGCGGAGCTGAAGAAATCACTGTTTGCGCTAACTACTTCTGCTTTGAATGCTGTCAGCAGTTAAGGGTTTGATAAACTCTAAACGATGTATAACCGAGTATGAGATCCTAACGGGGAAAATTTTCATTCTCCATACTTTCAGTAGTGCATTTCTAAGTATAAATCCCTAAATTTCGTTGTGAACTACAAGGTCAAGCGATCTGCCCAAAGACTGTCCTGAGTTTCATAGCCAGGTGATCAAGAATAGCTTGAAACCTAAGGCAAGAACGATACTTCCGCAGACGTTCTGTTGCCAAGATAATCGCTTGAATACTACTGGCTTTGCGAATGTCCTCAGTTTACCCCCGCTTAAAATGTAGTGAAATGGTAAATTGGGCTAAGTTTGAGAACAGCTATAGAATACTACAGCAGTACCCATGGGCGAAGTGTTTTTCGGCAAAACAGACGTATCCTTCGTTAAGTATGGCAGATATATTGAAAAGGGGAAAATTGGCTTTGGGGCGCAAACACAACAGGGGTTTTTGAAAACATCCATAGAGCTGAAAGGTAGATATGGTCCCCTAACTCTGAGCCTCATTCTTCCCTAACCTAACCCATTACAGTTAGTTCTGATATGAATTAGAGTTGGGTTGAAGACAGATTAAAGGGACAGGTTAAAGCATATCAACCCGAGATAGTGGACGCACTAGCGACCTAGCGCGCAGATAGATAAGCATAGTGGAACGTAGTAAAAACACTACATTTATGAAAACTATGCTTGATGAAATAATGTATCATTAAAGGGGATATTTGGTAACTTTTAGAGTAGGTATGAGCTAGTGACAGGTTGAAGTTAGGTTCAAGAGAGACTAGAGTTATGTTAAAGAAGCAAAAAGGTTGGGTTCGAGAGACCAAATTTAACTTTCAGAGCCTCAGCTGTTTCGAAAGACATCAATGCATTTTCACCCCTTCGATACTTAAAGCTTAACATATCAGATATCCTGTGGTGACCTTTTGCTCTGTTAGCTTAGTTACCCAAATTCAAATAGAAAAAAAATACCAAATCAGTTTAGTTACGGGAAGAATATATTAAAGTTTCGTTACTTGGGTTTACAAAGATCCAAAGTCCACAATAAACGTAATAGATTCCAGAAGTGCTGCGGGAAGACTGCTCCAGTTCTAATTCTCCAGTGTTGACGTTGCCGAGGTCGACCAAAGTGCGTAGGAAGAGGCTACGGTGCTCCTGCAAAATTCGAGATAGAAAGCAGGTTGTTATAATGATCGACGGCAGTTGAGATGGTGGAGAAGACGGAGAGTCGAAGGCAGAATTATATTTTTTTTAAAACTCGAGGGAAGTTCAAAGTACAGAGCTTTTTGGTTAAAACAAAGTAGTGTACAATATGTTCATTTTTTACATAATAGTAAAATTTGGATAAGTTTATTTTTGAGGACTCCACAATCCCCTATAATATCAAAACACTTAATTAAGCATTTATTCATGAACCTAGCGTCATCCACCTGGCTTCATTAACTTGATGACTGAGCATTCTGAAGCAGTTAAACTATCACAGCCGTAATCACAGCGACCTTGAATAGCCAATCATGTTCCAGTTGGAAAATGTCTCGTAATCGTTAGAAAAAGCATTGTGAAGCTTGATATAACACGCGATAAAGATCACGCATGTGTTGTAAAAGTGTCTTCCAGCTTCTCCAAGGATAACCTAACCTCAAAATGACGGTCGATTATATCCCCTCCATTCGTCTGTACCTACCAAGCGCTGAATAATGGTAATTTATACGGTGGCACTGATGCTGAGTACCGTTAATATGGAAACTTGAACCATAGCCGTAAATCCCAAGCACCCATACTTCAGTAGCCCTTGTGACTACTCTATTATTATTAATCTTTTCCAGGAAATTTTTATCAATATGAGGGTTAACTCCTATTCTGTGGTGACAATAGGTTATCCCACTGGGCTTCCAAGTAGCTACGTTTCTACACTCTTGGCACCACTACATTGTAGAAGCGATGTTTTTCTGTTCTTGCTGCTGTCCTGTAGGCCTTTTCAGAATCCAACCATGTATGAGCAGTAAGATATCCAGCGCGTCAGTGGTCCAGCGGTCGATTACTAGCCAACCATGCACGTGGTCTAGGTTTCGAGTCCATGCCGGCCCACATCTTTACTTATCTTAGCCAGTTATAATACCGACAAAGAGAGGAGGTTAGTTGTAGAGCTAGCAATCCCACCCAGTGAAAAATACCACAACTACTGAAACTTTGAAGCTAAAGCTTAGAGCCCTATGTTCCACCGGGAACGCGAAGGAATAAAGAAGAACAACCAGCAAATTTCAGATTGGCGGACGAAAGTACTTAGGCAACAAGCGAAATACTGTGCCCATCTTCAGTAACGGATTTTCGCCTACAGCGTGAATTGCATCCATAGCAATATATTTCTATATCCCGTCTTTCAAATTCTGCCCACACACATATATTTATAAATCTAATTAATACTTTGAGACAGTAGTTAAATACTCGGCTTTTATGAACTCACCCACTAAATCCACAAAGGCGGGCACGATTTCACTTGTGATGACCTTCCGTAGCATTCCCCAAATTTGGTTGGTTCTTGAAGGTCAACTTGTGACATATTGAATGTTCAACTTTTCCAGCGTTCCGAGATCGTTGTTGATTTCTTGCCTCTTCGGTGCTCCGAAAATCAGTAATGTAAGTACTGGGCTATTGCGACGGATTAAAATACTACTGGGAAGTGGGAATGGAACCAGACAGCCAAGTGATGTTTAAAATCGCCGCAAGTGTGTTGTCAAACTAACCAATCACAAACAAAACTCAGTTGTTTATCGCACGGGCGGGCATGTGAAACAGCGTCTATCCTGCTACATGGCACCAAGGTCAGTTAACTCTTCTGCCCAAATTTCACCAGACATACTACGTTTGCTTCAGAAATCAGACTTAAGACTTGAAGAATTGAAACAAATTCATAAATATGCGAAAGATAACCCTCAGCACCTCATAAATCAAACTAGTCGTTTGGAATTATTGATTGCCAAAATTATTAACCCTACAGAATGTACTTGCTCGGCCAAAACAGCTACACATTTTGATCTGTCATGTAAAAATTCGGAAATAGAGGAAAAAATTCAACTGGCAGCAGAATGCTTTTCAATGTTGCCTTTCTTGAAAAGTTCACCACAACGTCTTCAAGAGTACCAGTTACGTCTTGCTAGATGTCTTAGCGAAACCTTATGTTGTCTATTAGACATCAACCGCCTATCACATGCAACTTTATCAACTGTTCAAGAGTATTTAAGTTCCAAAGTTGACTACTTCTCATGCATAACTCCAGTTGAAAAGGTGAAGAAATTGCCGGAGGACTTCTCAAATTTCCTGTATATACGTGCTGAGTTTTTCACATATTGCCTACGCTGCATCTTTCTGCGTGACTCGGCAACATATATTGACATTTGTTTACCTGTTTTCATGTCATTATTCAATGGTTTCTTCGAAGTAAGGCTAACAGAAAATGAATATGTATCAGATCGCTTATTAACAACTTCTAGTCGTCTAATGCTGTGTTTAAGTACTATATGCCAAACTGTAGGCACGCTAATTATGCCTGCTGTTCCTTGCTTGTTGACTTTTCTTACATATCACTTGGAGTGGACTACTAATTGGCGACTCGATTTCAAGCGCATGGAATATTTTGTACGTCTTCGTTTAGGTAGTATTTCGTGCCTGATAAATCTTGCTACTAAAAACTTAAAGTTTTCGTATTCATATTTCACTGAACTAATGCCACGCATTATTTCACAACTGGTTCATGATCTGCGTTGGCAACTGTGTATAAATCAGGTTAAATATTCAATTAAGTCTGTCAGTCCAGCACAACAAAATAACGTCTTCAAACCCCCAGCACTTACTGTGGCATCATTCGAAAAGCGTATCACAATCGCAGTTCTAACTCTAGTGGACTGTATTTTCAAGGACCCAGAAATACTACATTATATAACACTTTCAGAATCAAAATCAGACTGTATGATAGGCACTAAAAATCCCCCTAGTCGTACAACTGACAGTGAAGTGAATCGACTTCTGTTAATTATTGGCCATTTAACTTCACAAGTCGATGCTGTGTTAAAACGTGGAATGCCTTTCGTTCAGAACAAAGTAACAAATATGGTTTTAATAAGTCCACCAGTTCTAAGTGCACTCGCAAAGGTTTCTTTTGTATGTGCTATGTCTATCCCTAACCAAACGTTCCTACTGACTGTTTTGAAATTTCTTAATAATCTTACAAGACATTCTGATAACACATTAAGTTTGACTGCAATGGGATATTTTCATCAACTGTCCGGTTTAAAACTCTGCAAATCATTGCGTCATACAAACTCAGAACCTACTATGGATGATTATGAACATGCCCAAATCGCACATCAACCTCGGCTTGTTATGCAAAACGAATGTAAGTATGTCATAGCTAAACATGGTTCAGAAATGCATTCTAACTATAACAAGAGTCCGGACTTCAAACAGAAAGAAGAGCCGCCCGTCAAACTTCCTCAAATTACAGAAAAGCAAAAACCTACAGAATTCGAGCCGAAATCTTCGAGTGACTATTCCAAATCTGGATTTTCATCATCTGAGCAGAAAGGTGAGCCGCCTGTTAAACGCCTTCGAATAACAGAATATCAAGAACCCATACAAACCGACGGGAAATCTCTAAGTGGCGATTCGAAATCTGAAATTTCATCGTCTGAGCATCAAACAATTGACCCCCAGTCGCCAGGTAAGAGCGATGCATCCTGCATACCGAAGGATGTTCATACTTTTTTGACTGCTTTCGATCCAACTTTTGTATGATATTTAAATTTACTTTTTTATGAATAAAATTTATAATACTTGAAAATGTATTCATATCTGTCATCGTTCTTGGTCGGTTTATGCGTAGTAATGTGCTCTGATTAAGTGGGGTTAAAAAGATATCGTTAGATCATTTTGTGAATTATTTGCTGATATTGGGCAATTTATTTTATTTTTTCTTAATTTTTCTAGTAAGTGCAGCTATTACTCACTTTCCTTAATACTTTTATTACAGAGATTTTTATTTCCGGCAATCAATACTACTGTAATTCTTGCTTGGTTTTAAGTAAACATTATAGTAACTGCTAAGCACGGAAATTACTCCGTGATTAAATCCGAAAAAGCCAGTTCATCTGATTTGACCGGAGAGATAAAACAGACTTAGAGGAAACCGGAATTTCTTTCGAGAAATTTGACATTAAAAGTTCCCCGTCTGTTACGCTGGGATGCAGAAGACATCTCTGAAGTCTCTGGTCACCATTTTGACATTTTGAGAAGGGTTTGTTTGTTAGTACGCAACAGCCCAGGTTGAAAAACACTCACTTGATCCTAATGCTAACAAAGAATTAGGTTCGTTCGTGTCTCGGATTACTTCTGTGAGTTCCGACAGCTTTCAGTAAGTTCCTGAGAGTGATAAGCTAGAGAATTAAGTTGATTTTAACTTGTTGAAGATGACGAAAGTGCATCCGCAAGCTGAAAGTGAAGCTGTATTCTTCAGAAGATGCACTATTTTATGTCGATAGAGTCCGTTCGGTTAGTAAGTTAAGAGTTAATTGTATCATACACACATGCTTCACTTTGAACAACTTCAGTACTGTAAAAGCTGAAACATCACAAAGAATTTGTGGAAACTTCAAAATTTCTGTTATTTCTAGATTGTGTGAATGTAGTGTTGTAACACAGAACTTATCCAACTCAATTTCCCTAATTATTTTCCGATTGCCTTTCTTTTGAAAGAATTCAAATATTCTTCACAATAACAACGCCATGACAATTATTTCAATACTACTACTTTTTGGCCTTTGGCTGAGAGGACTTTGTAGATATAGTTCAAGCTACTATAAATGGGGCGATGGTTGCTTTCCAACATGTGGAAACGTAGCGGAATGAAGCTATTATATTCGGTGGAGACATTCGTAGGAATCACGATCGGCTGCTTGCATTACATACATGATCTAGGATAAAAAAAGTAGCCATTAAACCTTACAAATCCGTATTTCGAAGCAGGCAATTTATCACATATAATTTACTATGACCAGTGAAGGTCGTAGGCCTGTCGGTGTGCTTTTAAGTTTAGTTCTAAAGTTCCTGTACCAAATAATCAAATGGTTTAGCCCGGATATGGTTTATCCAAAATACTGCTTCAAATTCATTTGCAATTTTGTGATGATTCGTGAACCACTGTTCAAACTGTTGATTCGGTCAATGTGGACATCATGAACGGGCTGCATATGAACTATTGGACAAAATTCTCTCAAAAGATCAAACCTGGAACCATATATATATATATATATATATAATAAGACTAAATTTACCGTAGACCTTGATAACTGAGCATTACTGTTTCTAAAGTCCAAGTAGAACTATGACAAATTATACTGCAACTGTGTTACTAGGATGGGGTATGGCTCCAAATTCCTGTGACCTATGATGTCAAACATCAACAAATAGTCTTATCTAGACATGTTAAATTTAAAGGTTGTAGTAGTAGTAACTGTTCGTCGCTAATCCAATCATCCGTACTTATTTAGGGGAACGAATAAACATTTCAGTGAAATATTGAAGATGTTAAGGAGGGTTGGTATGAAATAACTGGTAGGCGATTTGGTGGAACTTTTTATTTTATTATTATTCATTTGGTTTCCCAGTGAAACAGGCTTCTGCAACACATCTCCATCTCATCCTGCTCTCTGCAGTCCTACTTAGCTAGCTCCACGATTTTCCATGAGCTCTGATCTCTTTCATGCCATCTTCGGATGACCAACTCGTCTGCCATTCAAGTTCCGGCCTAGCGCGTGATGTCGCTCAATTGTCTTCTCAGAGTGGCTGATCAATCCCCATTTGCATATTTGTTAGGCTATAACCTCTTGGTTGGTTCGTCCCCAGAGTTTCCTATCGCTAATCTATTCCGGGCAGCTAATCTTCAGTACGGAACAAAGACAACTGCTGATAAAAGCCTTCAGTGTCTTGGAAATGTTCTTCATGACATACCAATTTTCTGAACCACATAGAAGTAGTGACTTCACGTTCTTTTTCCTTCATGTTCCCCAGGGGAACATAGGGCTTCAAGCTAGTGGCTTGAAGTTTCTATAGCAGTGTTTATTTTACAGGATGGGGTTGCTAACCCCATGCCCAACCTTTCCTCTTCACCAGCATTATTTCTGGCTTAGCGAGGTAAAGGAGTGCGTCGGCCGGGGATCGAACCCCGGACCATGTGCATGGTCGGCGAGCGTCCTAACCGCTATGCTATGACTTCACGTTAGTGCTAAATATTTGAATCTTGTTATGTTTAGTGCAGGAAATTTCCTTACTGGTTTCAGATTAACGAAGGTTCGTTTTGTCTTTCTGATTCTGCCTTTGACATACTCATCTTTGCCAACTGAGGTTAAAACGATGCTACCCAAGTAGGTGAAAGAAGTGACCTCGTTATTGTTGGTTCGTTACCTTCATCACCTCCATCTTCTCTATGTTCATTTGAAGTCCTGTCTTCGCTCCCAGTCTCTTCTGCCAGCTTGTTGGTTTCCGTCTGTGACACTAGGCATAAATTGTCTACAAAGTCCAGCATTTCCGTGCGTGCTGTTGTTGGTATTTATGGGCGAGTTGCCAGTGGTGGTTGATTTGAAAGTCAATTAAGGTGATCAGTGCATTGTTTTATCTGTCTCTTCTTGAAAATATGGTTCCCTTGAGCATCTTTTATTGGTTTTATCATCTTAGTTGATCTCTTCGCGGATAGAGACTTGGTTATCTGATATAGTGTCCTGATGTTTATTTTGCCTGCAGCCTGTTCTGCTTCAGTTGCCAGTGTGTGGTAGAATTGTCGTTTGTCTTTTCTAGCACTCTTCTTCACTTCTTTATTCAGTGCAGTGTACAGTGAACTTAGCTTCTCCTTATGTTGTCTATCTTTGTATTGTGTCATTTCTCTTCCATTATCCTTCTCTCCTCTCCTCGATAAGCTTCCAGGTATCCGTTAACAGCGGTTCCTTGTCTTGTCTCTTCCTTCTTCCTAGAATAGTTGTACAAGTTTCTTTGAACACCGCCTTCAGAGAATTCCAATGTTCTTCCACACAGGTTTCCTCGGTGATAACCTGTAGTGTCTCCGACTTTGCTGTGATCTGATGTGCAGTGAAGGCATCCCTCGTGGCTTTGTCCTTTAGTTTCTGAATGTTGAACTTGAATAACAATGGCCTGTCTCCAGTTGTTTTCAGGGATTTCAGTTTCACCTTGAAGTTTCCCTGAACTAGGTGATGGTCTGAACTCGCATCTGCTCCCCTTCTCGACTTTTTGCCCAGCAGGCTGGCTGCGTCTCCACTTCCTTGAGCAGCATTGAGATGAAATCTATCTGGTTTATGGTGTCCGTCAGACGAAATCCATGTTGCTTTGTGTATATCCTTGTGCTTGTACACGCTGCCTCCAGTCACTAGATCATTGAAGGCGCAGAGGTCTGCGAAGAGTTTTCTGTTCTCATTCATTCCCTTGAGAGTCTCTCGACCTATGATGTGAGTTCTCTGCCTGTATTATCTGCTCTCAGTTCGGCATTCATATCGCCCATGGGGATTTTGATGTCACCATTCGGGATGTTGTCCATTACTGTTTGTATTTGTCTGTAAAAATCCTCCTCCTTCTCTTGTTCCGCGTTGTTTGTAGCACTGTGCGTAGCATTGGGTAATTGTGACCTTCCTTCCCCTTGAGTTGAATCTTGCTGTCATGATCCTGGATGAGGGGATTGGTTCCCACTGTATTAAGGCTTTGGCTGCTACTGGTGACATCACGATGGCCACTCACCACCCCAGTGTGCTCGTGGTCGTCGTCAGGGTGACCGGAGTAGATTACTGACTCTCCAGTTGACAATTTTGACAATCCACATCCATTCCTTATGATCGCGCAGATACCCAGCACTTCTATGCCATATCTTCTCATTTCTTTGGCTACCTGAGCAGCCTTCCCAGAGAGCCTCGTACATTGTACAAATATTCCACATCCCCATTCTTGCTTTCATCGAGAGAAGACATTGGCTGACTGGCTTTCCGAAGGCTTCCACCATCCCTCATCATTTCGATTCGAGCGAAGAATAAGATTGTTGTTATTTGAATTTTTATAACACATTTTCTTTGTGCTGAAGTTTCTCTGGCGATTTGATCTATGTCCATGTCACCGGCCTTCATAGATTTCTATCTTTTATATGCCATATATCATTTCAAGAATTAGTTTGTAGGGATCGGTATCAGTTAGAGAACCGTTGAAAACCAGGGAGTACTGAACTTTTTCATCCTAGTTCGGGACTCATAGGCAGTATGCACCCATGGTGTTTCGAACCCAGGACTTTCTGGTTACAGGGCAATCTCGTATACCATTCGACCACTGGGACCCGACTCAATAGCCCAGTTCTACCAATTCTCATTTCAGCAACCTGAGCAGCTTTCCTAGCTTCGCATAGTGTGTGAACATCCCACGTCCCCATCCTTATTTTTGCTTTTATTGAAAGAAGACATCGCCTGACTGGCTTCCCGGGGATTTTCACCAACCCGCGCTTTTCCGTCTCTGATTACAGTGCAAAATTATTTATTTCTTATATTTTTGGTATGCATTGGAGTTTCAGTAGCGACTGGGTTGATCTTCCACACCCAACATTCCCTCTTCTTCGTCGCTTAGGAACGACCAGCCAGTAAACTGGGCGCTAATCCTATGCAAGCAAGTTTCGGACTATTTGAATAAAATTTATGTTGAGATTGAGATGAAATCAACAGCGCGATCAATGTGCAGGTAACCTACGATGAAATCAAGTAGATGTTCTTTAATAGTTGACTGTTCTAACCGTGTGGCCAAAGTAAAAAGCGAATCCAGAAGTTGTCTTCGTGGCCAGATTCATATACACCTTACCGTAAGGGAAGAGTTCGTTCCACCTGATGTGCATCACTTTTCAGATAAATGTTATGATCTAATCATAATAGATTCTTTTGCTAGATAACCTTAAGTGTTTCTGAAAGCGTTCACAATTATAGACCCTTCCAAGGAAGTGCCTCGTAGATGCTTTAGTCACGTAAACCGGTGAACAATTCTGCTCTGAGATGAAATGGCTGACCACATTCAAAGAATATCCTGTCATCCGTGATCTAATGGTTTTGCTGGGAACTTCGTGAAAAGACACATCAGCAATGTTCTAACGGCATTCACAGAACTATCATATCAAAATGCATGTCACTGTATCACAATGGTCAGCACAGCTGGGCTATTTAAAATCGGCGTTTAAGAACTCATCTTCGACGTTATAATGCTTCAGATATCATATTGTTGAAAACACATAAATGGGCACGAAGTAGGGATGTAATTATCAAAATGTTTAAGGTAATCATTGGAATTATCGATTTAGATGATGACTCACTAAATCGTAGACACTATTGGTCAATTAAAATTCCAAGATGTCATGTGAATGAACATTCTAAACGACTCTCAATAGTCGGTGTTTCTAGAAAACCAGTATAGATGTTTCTCAAGTCATTCAAAAAGGTTGGAGGTTCTACTTGTGAAGCAAGCTCGGTGAGGCGATAGACGTGATGACTTGTGGACTGTCATATAGACAGATGTAAAACGCATACATAAACAATCAACTGTCTAGTTGCCTAATTGTCTTCTAATCAACTATCCAGGTTCATATACGTGGTCATTCCTGTTGATGTGACAGCGACTAACTGTACTCTTAATAATACTATGTGGCTGGTTTATAAGATTGACTGTCTGAATGCTACTTTAAGTATGCAAACAAAATAACTGATACGAGCCTTGTTCTTGCGCAATCCTGGGTAAAAGTCCTAGTTAGTACTGAGCGCCTAAATTATTAGTTACCATAAATTATATGAAATAAAGTAGTTCAGCCTAATGAATAGCTTTCTGAGTAACGCAATGAGAACAACTTTTATATGATAAGAAGAATGAATTTATTTCATATTTTTTAAATCAACTAAGTACGACAACCTGAATAATTGGATACATAAACTATTGCTGTAAAAATCTGTGATAAACTTTATTTCCAGGGTAACTAAGGAGGCCATGATGAGGATATCCTACTAGAGTTTGGGAACAAGCGAAGGTGGTTAAGTAATCATGAAAAAATGGACTACCAAAGCAAAATAACAGGCAGCTGCACTTATAAAAACAACAGTTAGTACGAAAGTAGATAGAGGCAATCGTCAAGTTAGATCGTTGAAGAAAAAAATGAAATCTAAAACTTCACCGACGTAAAATTAAATAGACATTGGTTAGCATAATTTAGACGTGATTCTTCGAGTCAAATCAACTTAAGTAATTCGAAGTATTTGTGAAATTTCTTTATCTGTTTACCGTTGCGGAGTAATTCGATATGTTGACTTGTTATCTCGCATCATCTAGATAACGAGACACGGCATGGCTATAGAAGGAGCATTGGTTGCAAATATAGGTGCAACTTATTCGACTTAGTAGCTTAGTCAGTCCCTAAGACAATAAATGTGGTTCGGCGTGGTAGATGAAACTTATGTCCTAGGTAAATGACTAGCAGTAGTGTAGATCATTCATTGAGAGTTCAACAATCCTGAAATACAACCTATATATATATATATATATATATATATATAAGTGCACGTAGAGTCAAAGATTTGGTATATTCCAGATCAGTTAAGCAATATATTTTATACAAAACCAATTCAACGGCTGGGTAGGTCTTCAATTTTGCGTTTCTTATCCATCTGTTAATTCACTCTCCAACCTCACCACATTTATATCCTTTTCCTCTTGCTTTCACCTTCAGAATACTTCTTTATTAATATTGCTGCATACCACCCACTTCAGCTTAAACGCTGATTTCTGAATGCGTTAATGCTTAAGAGGAGGAACTTCTTCAGCAAAGTGGAGAAGGTGAAAGCGAATAGGGGCTTTGAAATTGAATTACTAGATGTCATGTTTTCCTCGAGTGAATTGGAAGAAGGGTGCAATTCACAACACCACTCCATTATTATGTTCTTCGGAAATCAAGTCGAAAATGCTCTGAAGGATGATTTTATTTTTTTAAAATAGGTCATTGAATTGAAGTGCGATTGTAAATAACATAGTTCACAAAAGAAATGACATATAAGTTACATTGCTGTATTAAGAATGCTTATTGGTGAAATAAAGTATGATATATTGAAAACGATCTTTGTATCATGAGAAAATGTAGAAAGCGAAGTACAATATGAAGGTATATGTCGTTAGTCTGTTCATCTGCTATGCTCAGTTTTCAACATTCAGCAGTCGTACATCCACCCCAAAAACTTCCAGTATATAACCCATAAGCGTTTTTTGTTCTCCAAACCGAACTGATTCTACAAGTTTACAAACTTTGTTCTTCAGATTACGCTGCCTACAAAGGGCATGGAGACATATAACTGGTTATATGAAATTTCACTTCACTCAAACTTACTTAATATAGGTACAAGCAGGATACAGAAGAACAGTATGATTCCGGATATAAAACGAATTAATATTACTGAGATGATAATACAAGTTGGTACAAGTATCTTCGGTTGATTAATGGTATTGAGAGTTTGTGTGTCCAAAAACAGAAGCGTCAACATAGGGCAACACAATACTAGAAGTCCTACTAAAACTGGAATAGGGTTGATTGCACTAAAAAGGTTTTTAACTTCAATAATTTTGTTACCTCAGCAATACAATTATAATTACACTCATTAGGAAGTAATTCGACTGGTAGTAGATTAAATTTGAAATCATCCGCTCATTCCATTTACTCTCTCGAGGGACGCTGAATCGAGCATCGTAGCCGACGAAATCGCTGAAAGAACGTAAGGGTACTGATCGCATTTTTTGGTTGACGGAGCGTTAATATAATCTGTAAATGTAAAATTTTACATTCCGTGAAGTAATCGTAGGATAAGTATTAAAAGAACCAATGGGAATCAACAATTCAAAAAATTCGTAGTTACTTGATGTAAGTAGCAGTATATTCTTGATAATGTGAAAGCCTTGCAGGTATACTCAACTCCGGACACCTGCGTTACACAGGCCTTTCTTAAACATAGTTACCATGATGGTCTCATTCAACACTGATGGGACTATTTCATCTCCGACAAAACTCAATAAGTTCCAGGACTACACTAACTATTTGTTGTGCTAAATCAAAATATGGAACGGCTTAGAGATAGACTGATTTAACTTTCAAGCTGTTGAAATCCATAATTGGTGAACCGATGTTGAAGACAGACAGTGATATCCTAATTTACCCTGAATAGCAGTTTTATTTTAGTTTGTGATACCGTTATTATCATCATTTGTTTAGCTAAGACAATTAAATTTCAGCTTAAATATCACAAATGCTGAGCAAGTAACTTCACTAAACTACAAACAATAAATGCATGGAATTATGTATTTTTGTGATAGAAGATAATAACTTTGGGTTTCGGTAGACAATGTGGCAGCTTGCTTAAAGACCTTGTACTGATTCATGAAATGTTACATTAACAAGTTGGTTGCGTAACCCAATGCACTGCTGAAGCTAAAGATAATGCAATTTGGCAAATGTCAAACTAGATTTTTGTATCTATGCCGATATCTAGGCAGTAACCGGCATTTTAGAGTTGATGCAGCTTACTAAGGTAGTAGTCAACATATCCAACCATTCCACTCTTCTTTAGCTAGTTGCTAAAAGCCACTTATGTAGCATTACATCATAAACGCGAACTCCATACTAAGTATGCTATTTTTGCTTAGGATATATTCAGAAAACTGTGCATTCTGCCAATATCCTCACACGAGATATGTTGTCTCCATAATCTAAATTAACGATATCTTGGTACTATGTCGACCTCTGAAACACGGAACTCGACTACAGTCTCATTTACCAATAAGTCTACGTCAAAAGTAGGAATAGTGACAACAGGCATCAGTGTTGAACTTGTTTTTCATCAAATATAAGGATAACTCTCGATTACCATGCTTCACTTTTTCCACAGTCAGACGCTGCAAGAATATCTGTCGTGTGACAGAATCTAATGCCACTTTCAGACCAAATGAGAGTAAGTATTCCTGCTTCAGAAGCTGTCAGAGGGGAGATTTTGTCGATGCATTCTTGTTTATGCCCAAAACTGCCTGGATTTTGTGGGGTACACTAAGTCTTCATATGACCACGCGCCTAAAGATCTCGGATACGTTGTGACACATCAATTTCTGAGGTCATTATAGGAAAATTTGTCACTGACGATCGATGTCAGCATGCTGAAACTATCGCAGATCCTCATACATATGAGTAATCATATATAGATATCGTGGCCAACAATTTCTTACTAACATTCTTAAACATGTGGATGAAATCTGTTATTTGCATCGCTTTAAACGAGAAACTGCTTTCTTCAACTATGGAGTTGGAAGTCATATATTTCTTTCTAATCCAGATCGCGAGGCAGTCCTAGGGTAGTTCCTAAGAGCTTTCTACCCAAAGTCCATCCATATGTCTTACGAAATTACTAAAATGCCATTGTTTTGAAAGATTCATTCGCACAGCTTTTATAGAACCCATCTCATTAAGCTTGAACAGTTGACATGTGTAACTCTATACTGGACTGATCTCTTTCTTTTTTTTTAACCCAAGTCTGATATAAAGACAATTAACTAATTTACTCTTAAGTCATTTTCGCTCCATATTATGTTCGTGGACCACCAAAATTAGTCTTGGTGTATTAGTCAATCCGGATGGAAATATACTGGTCCTCAATAACCCCTGGTTGCAGATTGTTGACCGCTTTTACTGCAAACTGGATACAGTCTCAGGTTTCTGAAAGAAGAATATTCATCAAACTTAGAAAAAGTGACATAACATTGAAATGTTGGGCACATAAGGGCTTTGTCAGGACGTTTTTTGTCTATTCAACGAGTTAGACACGTGCATTAACTGATACATGGTCGGGGTCCACGTGAATTTCCAAGTATTGTACACATTGCATATCACACAAATTGGCATAAATCAATGAGGAAGTTTACCAAGAATAATAATACAGTCATCTTGACAAGGCCATATTTTAAGTTTAAGAATTTTAGGACAGAACATCTATGATGAATTGCAGCAGAACATATGACTCTTAGATAGGCCCCCCACCTAAACATTAATTTAACTTTTTTCACGGATAAGATAGGGTGGCGTTTGATGCATTCATTAACTGATACTGCATACACCTATTTTCATTTATTCAAATCCCTTTTTATGTAATTTAATTACCTGTTGACTACAATGTATCCCAGTAGTATACCAATGCATACTATAATACTTAACCGTAACTGTTAGTTACGTTTATATACATGCTCACGTAAACTTCTAAAACTTCAAACGAATCGCTAATTCATATAAACGCACCAGTAAACCCTCAAATGTAAGCGTGCGTATTAATATGAATATTTGAAGTAAGGTATACAAATGTGAGTTATTTCCAGTGGTAAATGGCACATTCAGACTCACCATAAAACAAAAGCTATAAGTTTATTAAATAATTTTAGATGCTATAGGAGACTGCTAAAATAGTTTGAACTATCCGACATGGGTCTTTAAACTGCACCAGATGAAAAATTCTACTTTACTCCAGTAAAATTCAGTCACCTGAGGACGCTGGTGTGAATTAATTGTATTTATCTGTCGGTCGCTTCAGACAGTTTGAAAAATAGGCATTGATAAAGGCTTAGTCTTATATCCCCTTCGCATGGGAACGTTCCAAGTCAACACTTATATGGGGTCAAACGGGGTCAATTCTACAATGAAGACAAAAGAATATACAGATAGTGAGTGAAATTTGCAGAATACGGTGCTGCGTCAAACTCTGGCTGCTTGCTTTAAGCTGGCCACATAGGATCCTGATTTTGCTCCAAATCCAAGGATTTAGGTCTCATTTCAGTTTTTAAATCTCTTTATATGCTGTGAACTAGTTCTAAGCCTGTTCCGTTTAGTCATCGTGCCTCAGTCTTTGACCGCCGTTCGGACAGATCAAAATTCCATCCATATTTTGTTCGACAAGACTCTTGAACCTATTTGTGATATCCACAGAGTTCTCTTAAAAGGAGTAAAAATGTTCGACGGGACAAGTGGGAGATTATGTAATGTACTACCTGTTAGCACAATACCATTCCTTTTTCTCTGTAGGAGATGTGGGATTGCTTCCAATAACACAGTGTCTGCTTTTTGTACCTATCCCATGATATTTGCTTTTTTCTTAGAAATGGGACTGATTTCATAAGAACTGAGACAGGTTGGAAATATGATCCTAAACGTATTGTCAAACTGTTTCGAAGCCCTGTAAAGCAAACACGTAATTCGAAATGTATTATTGATATAAGTATAAAACTTGGTCACTGTGGTAGAGCATAACTCCATTAAGGATAAGATTTTATTTTGATAAATCATACATATGATTATGAGCAATAGTTTGTGCTCGAAACGTCATCAGTAAATATTACTGTATAACACTGTGTGATTTATCAAAATAAAACCTTATCCATAATGGAATTCGGAATGTCTTGACTACAGTTGAATCTCTGTGTATCGCTGTCGTCAAGTTATACCTAACAGTAACTTTTAAATCCTTTTCTTCACTGACATCGAGTACGGCTGAGCCATCCACTGAATATTGAAAATAGACAATCGACCGAGATGCATTAATGCCCATTTACCTGGGATAACTTTCACACTAAAAATCTCACGATATCCGAAAAATGAATGACTTTGCTTAGGGTGTTACCCTATTTTCCTCCTTGCGGATGATTATTCAGGCTTAAACATCACCTTCGAATAGAGATGACTTAACTAATCTCCATAATTTAATAATCCACTGTGTGGATAAAAAGCGACCTAAGTGTCCTAAATTATCCTGCTAGTGATTGCTTTCACTCGATGAGCGTTCTGTTTACTTTAGCGATTTTCCTACTGCCAAGCAGGTAGTCTCTCAACAACACTTGGCTGTTGGTAGCAATACTGAAACAGGGAAGCTTCCTTATTGAACCATGATAGGATACCTTGTCGAATACCGTAATATATATATATATATATGCTAGGGGTTACTGCAGACATTACGGACATGTTGGGAGCATTGCAGACATCTTGACAACTTCGAACAAATAAATCTCGTACCTCCGTGTGTGCCTAACATTCCTAGGCTCCTTTTTGTTTGGTGTTTCTGTAGGATGGCTGAAATCATAACTTGCTGAGTCACAGCAGATAAAAACACTTGCTAGTGTTGCACGTGACAGAAATGAGCAATATCCCAAGCTTACAACAATTCTAACCTATTCTTCGATAATGCAATTTTATGGTAAATGAAGATTTTATCTACCCACTATGTTCTGAAGTGACGCTAGTCCGTGCTTGACATGTCCTGTAAAGGCAGGAAAAACGCTGATAAGCAAACACAGTAGGTCCTGATATACTCCTGAAAATGCCTAGAAAAAGAACACAGTGCTAAATTAGTGTCAGTCATGCTGAAAACCAGCACTGAGTTCTAGTCTGTGCCATTAAACAACCCATTCCAAAACACACTCACTCACTATAGAACGCTAGAATAATTTCAGAATTAGTGAGATTTAATTCAGCAATATAGTAAGCTTGCGATACTATAAAAATTCGGCATTTTTTACGCAAACCTGCGGGTTTGATTATGATCCAAGAAATTTTCTTCGTACAAAAAATCTATAGGCTTATTGCTTCAGGTTTTGTGACTACATAGTCATCACCCAGTTGGCTGTGGACATTGAAAGACACTCACTGCAAGTTTGTTGCGCACGTCTAGTAAATTGCGCCAATATAGATTCAGATTCAGTTGATAAGGATAGAAGGCTCTTGTGGCCTGCATTAATCCTTGCAAAATATATCTCTGCAGAGATCTAACTTCTCTTTGAAAGCGTTCACCGATGGAGCTGTTACTACTGAATCAGGTAAGGAGTTCCAGTCGTTGACCACTCTGTGAGAGAATCTAAATTCTGCACGTATTTTAATCGTCCTCGGTTTGAGCACCCTTTTGCGGTGACCCCGTAAATGTATCCTAGAAGGAGAGAAAAGTTTAGAAAGGTCAGTTCCTAAATCACCCTTAAGTATACGGTATGCTAAAATTAAGTCACCTCTCTTCCTTCGGTATGATAACGGAAAGAGATTTAAATGCTCCATCCTCTTATCATAAGGAAGGTGTGAGATACCACTAACTAATTTCGTTCCTACTCTCTGTACTCTTTCCAGGATATATGCCTCCTTTTTGAAGCATAGACCCGCCACTTGTACGCAGTATTCTAGATGAGGCCTGACATATGGTGCGTCGGTGGCACAGTGGTTAGGACTCTCGCCGACCATGCACATGGTCCGGGGTTCGATCCCCTGCCGGCGCACACACGATATCTATGGTCGGCCTGCAAAATTGGGCTACCGATATCACATGCTGAAAATTCCATACTAGTACCAAAAATACGGTGTGGAATCAAGCTATAATAAATAAAATAAAATAAAAATAGAATATTTGGAACATGCCCTCATCGAATCGTTTGAAAGCCCTATGGAGTGCCCATAGCATTCGAAAAGCCTTAGCTGCGGCTGCATTGCAATTTGCAGTTGTTTTCAAATCATTGCTGACAATGATTCCTAGGTCCTTCTGTTCGTTAACATCAGGTAGTTCTGTGTCCCCTAGGGAGTACGACGTATAAGACTTCTGACCTAAGTGCATTACTGCGCTTTTCCTTTCCAAACCCCACAGGTTCGACCACCCAGCTAATTTATCTAGATCAGTTTGTAGGGCCGAACTATCCTCGTTATTATTTACAGTTTTCCATATCTTAATATCGTCTGCAAATAACAATGAAGATGAAGTAAGAATCCCTGGTAGCTCATTAACATATAATAGGAATAGCAAGGGGCCTAATGCAGTTTCCCGTTAGAACTAGACCTAAGTCGCGCTCTGACGTTGTGCAGGACAAGCTTTCATTGCACAGGGTTTAACTTGCATTCTGCAGTCTACAGGTGCGTAATTTTACTACTTTGCACATTTTCAGGTTGAAAGTCATGCCACTGGCCACCGCCTAGTCTTCCAGAAGTTTTAAATCTGCCTGCAGCCTATCTGAGTCCTCCGGACACTGTAGTGCCCTACATATCTTTACTTCGTCAGCGTACAGAAGAGTTGGGCAGTTTAGACGGCATGGTAGATAATTGATAAAAATCAAAACATCAGTGGTCCTATGACAGAACCCTGTGACACTCCTTATGATGAACTGTACGAAGGTGATCGAACTCGGTTGACCTAAGTGCAAAATTTCCTTTCAGCTAAGTAGTCCTTCAACTATGACAGAAGTGCCTGACCTATACCTGCTGACTTATTTTGTGGAAGAGGTCATGGTGAACTGCGTCAAATACCTTCTCGAAGTCTAAGAAGACCACATGGACTGGAACATTCATATCCCAGCATGATATCCAATCTTCCCATACTAATATTAGGTTCGTTACACAGGATTTGTCTTTCCTGAAACTGTGTTGGGCTTCATGGAGTATATTAGACCTAGTGAGGTAATCCTTGATGTGATCGTCAATAATACTATCCAGTACTTTTGATACCACTGGGAGTAGAGCTACTGATCCGTAACTAGTGGTATTTTGACTATTACCACTCCCGAAGATCGGAGAAAGGATGGATCTTTTCCACTCCCTTGGCAGTTTTCCTGAATCCATTGAGTGTTGAAACAAGTCGTATAAGGGCCCACAGAGAGCTCCAGTCCACTGTCTCAGGACAGATGACCTGATGTCGTCACAACCTGGGGACTTCCCAGGTGTGAGTCGCTTTAGCTTCCTTAGTACTATTGCCGGGTTTATTTGGGGAGTAGCCAGTAGGTCTTCCTCCAGTGAAATAGTAGTGTCGCCATTTTGGTCAATATTGGTAACACCCACATTGCTGTTTAGCTGTTCGGCGAAGACTAAACTGAATGTTTCAGCCATCTTCAGACTAGTGAGATATTGACCGTTTAGGCCTACTCAGGCGCACACCCCTTGGTTGGTTGGTTTTCTTTCCGACGTGAATCGATACAAGCTTTTTGGATTTGCTTGGAGTTTTTGGCAAGGTTAGGCTGGAATGACCTCCTGCCACTCCTGACTCTCACGTTGCACCGGTTCCAGGTATACGCTGTGGTTGGTCTGACTCTTGGATACTCGCCACGTAAACCAAGCCTTCCCACTGCAAGTGCTCACGAAGAACAAGATCGAATCCTATAACTGCACGGTCACTGCTTTCCAGATGAGTCATGATCTGGACCCATTCGACGAGTATTTGGTCACTAGTTAGAATGTAATCTAGTTTCGATGACTTTCCACTAGGTCCCCACCTAGTGTCGTCTCCAGCATTCTCATTCAGTCCTGTACTTCGAAAGGTTTGCAGTATATCTAGACTGAATTTTTCTCGAACATACTTCAAGCCAAAGTTCGGTGATGGGGCGTTGAAATCTCCAGCTATGGTGATTTGGTCATAGGCAAAGTCCTGTATCCTTGTGATGGCGCTGAGCAGTAGCTGGTTGTGCTCTGCTCCATATGTGGGTGGCCGGTAGATGCCACCCAGTAAGTTTTTGGTATGGTCTGCAGTGAAATGACACCTTATAAAGTCTGTGAGTTCATAAGTGGTGGGCCATTGCACGTACACACCTAAGTTGCTTGTCAAAGTATGTGGCAACTTTCCCCGTCTTTGTTATCCCCGTCTCTCCTGACCAGAAACATATCAACTATACTCATTTCGTTGTCGGGGCTAGTGAAGGTTAGCCAGGTTTCGGTGGGGATTATTATTTTAGGGTGCAGGTGTGACTGGAGGTTTCTGAGTTCATCTACTTTCCCTCTTAGCCCACTTACATTGCTATAAAGGCAGCTGACAGTGAGTCTCACAACCTCAGCGTGTTGTGAGGTAGTTGACGTTACGTTGATTGCTGATAGGGGAATTAATATTGGGACTAGTTGGCCGATTCCGATGGAACCGGCCCGTTTTTGCCGTTGTCCTTGGATTCGGGTGGGACGCTTGGATGACACAGACTGTTATTTTCAGTACTGCATCGCTCTAGTGTCACTGAGGCTTTGGGATGTATTAAGGCCTTAGTTTGCTGTCTTCTCATGGTCTGAGGTTTGCTTTCGCAGCATCGGATGTGTCCTCCAATTTTCCTCTTGGTCTCGTACCACCGTTGAAGTACTATGGCCAACCGCTCCTGGGAGTTAAATTTGACACTTGGCAGCCCTGGAGAACTCATCAGTGCGAGATGAGCTGGGCGAGGTATTCGGAAAATGGAGGTCGCTCCAGAAGCGCCTAGGGCCATCTGAGATGACAGCCATCTCCATTGCTGTACGTCATGCATGTGTTTTCACAAGCAGTGCCCCTTTCCAGCTCCGGAACACCATGTACGACCAAAGAGGTAGAAGGCATCAGTTCCGGTGACTCCCTCGCCATTTGTCTGTTAGCCCATGGCCTATAATATCTCACTCTTAAACTGGAACTCCTGTCGATAGTCAGTGCTTGAGCCAGTAATGGTATCCTTTCAGCCTCTTCGGCAGAGCTCGGTGTAACTCTTAATGGGGTTGGCTTGCCCTGAGGTGCCTGAACACCCTTGTACAGACTGCACTATTTTGCTGAATTGAAGTTCAAAACTAATTTATTGCACAAATTGGACCATCATTCCTGATCAGACAGAGCCCGTCTCTCAGGCAAATTATCATTGCATACGGTACATTTAACAGGTGAGGGAATTCGATCGACTAACCCCAGAATTAGGTTTGGTTTGTGGCTGCTTTTCCTCCTTTGTAGGGTCAGTCACCTAAGACTTCAGGGTTTGACTAGCCTTTGCCATATTGCGAGGCTTGCAAGTGGATGTAAGTGGTGCTTGGGCAATTCTATCTACCCTGTTGTAGGTGCAACCTTCTGAGTCTGCGCTTTAATGAAGATTGGCATTTCCAGTCAGTTGGACTGGAGTATCCTTTTTACTGTCGTTACCAAGTTTAGGTAGTGTAGTGTTGTCAGGTGGGGGGCTGCATGAGACTTTGTCGAGACACAAGAGTGGCGTGCTGTTTCTGCTATCCGTCGACACGCCGCGTCGGACTGTGCCATGAGGACAAAGTGGGTTATTTCGCATAAACTCAGATTATGACTTTGGCACCTCCTTGTCACAACGGCAGCGTACCCATCGTTTGCGAAAATTGCATTCAAATGCTGAATCAGTTTTAGAAACGATAACACTACAGGACTGAAATTCGTCCGCCTCCCTAGATGACGCTTTCGGGGTCTTGTGACGTCTTGAGAGTTTCTTTTTTACTTTGCGGTATTTCACGCACTGGCTCTCATTGGATGCAGATATTGCGTCATGTCCACCTGGTACTGCCTGTGCCGTTTTAGTGCTAGACTGTGGCAATGCAGGCGTAGTATCAGAACAGGCGAGGCTTACACAAGTCTTTAATATCGGAATGCGAGATTAGTTGATGTCCCTGGGTTATCGCCTCCTCCGGCTGAAGCCCTTGTGACTAAAGAATTTGATGTTTAGGTGCTTTTTATGAAGCTACTTTTATCCGCCATATTTACAATCACCATAACTTATGCTATATACGAATAAGGGAGCAGAAATGGCTACAAACGAGAACAAGAATAAGATTGATAAAGTCCAAGATAAGGAAAAGAAAAGGCTTTCAACTTTGTCTAGTTCTTTCCGGTTGAACGGTCTCACAGCAATCACGTGGTTGACAAACAAGTCTTGTTTATCTGAACGATCCGAAAGCACTTACTCCGCTTCTTCTGAGAGTCGGTTCCATGAGTTTGACTTGTTTAGCGAACCAACACTTCAGAACGATAACTTTCTTCCT